AAGGCCGCGTCCAAGCCCTTGGGCGCCTGCGCCACTGCCGAGGCAGCCGGCGCTGCAGGGCCTGGCACGGCAACAAATTGGTGGTGCCTCCCAAGTCGCGGTTCCTGGTGTTTTGAAATGGCTGTGGGTCAAAACCAATGGGATCCATTTTGGGGTAGGTGCACCACCCATTTTAGTCTATGTTAGTGTGGACTGCCATGTTCACTTGGGGTACGGGATTTTGACCCATGGCCAAATATAAAAGCCCCAAAAAAGCTGCCCACAAAAAAGACCCGATGCCGTCAACACAACAACATGGGAACTGGGAATGGTGCAATCTTACACGTTAGGCTTGGACATGCAATTACTCGTGGTCGAACGAGGCTGTACTGTTTCTACAGAGGCTACGTCCGCCACTGGTCTGGCCAAAATGATCACCCTCGACGTCGCACACGCGAGCGAAGGGAAACTAGAGCGCATCTCATTGCTGCTCAAAGCCTATACAAAAGAAACGGTGTCTGAGTATCAACGCTAAACGCCGAATAGTTACTTCCCTCTCCAAGTTTTGCACGGCAGCCACAGCTACTGGCTTTAGCACTAACCAATTCAGCTGCCAGCACCACCTCCGCCCTGGAAGCCAGGCTTGGATCCCGCCAAACCTGGGCGCCCGCACGCGTCTTCACCCGTGACTGAGAGAGCCAGTTGACAAGCTGGATTCACTGTCTCGTCGACCAATCAACACTTTTGTAGGGAAGTGTTTCTGCGTTTCAGCGTCATCAAATGTGGCCACAGCTGAGTAGGGTGAGCTCACAAAAAGCATGACACCATGCCCACCGTGTGTTGTTTTGGTTGGGCGATCTGTCTACCTGGGTCTTTCATTCAGTGCTTCACGCAGAAGCTGGCAAAAATGCGAATCTCTGGCAAATGTCCGAATCTCGTAGATGTGTTGTCCCTTCTAGCTCGTTGCTCCAACATTTCGCTTCGAGTCACCCGCTTGGCCCGCTTGGCCTCTTGTCTCCCGCAGCACGGACAAGCTCAAGAGCCTCCACACTTGCAAAAGCTTCAACGGAAAACCCTCGCCAAGAAACATGGGTGTTTTGTGGCTTCAAGGGGAAACAAACAGCACAAGTCCCCTAAGAAAGAACTGCCATCCTGGAGGACTACCTTCCTTTTGTCAAGGGCTTCTGTGTGCACTTCCATGTGTGTGGAACGGCAACAAGCTTGCCACAGGTGATGCGGCCGGCAAGTGGCAAAACCTCATCAATTCACCAATCGCCTCGAGTCCTTTTGTCATGGCCGCGGAATAGTCCTGCAGGCAAGGCAATGTAGAAAGAGGGCCGGTAAGCGAAATTGTTGTTCGGTTTGACCAGCAATGGCATCGACGACACTTGCGCATCGCGGAAAACTGCCCGCCTTGGCTACTACGAGGGAAACGGCAATGGCGTACAACCTACGGAAAGGCAGAACAGCCATCTCACATCCATCACGTCCAGAATCCAAGAAAACCCATGTCTGACAGTCTGATACCCATCCTGTCTTGAGAGCAAAAAAGTGCATTGCACGTCAGACACCAAACGAGCTTCTAGCTGGAAGCAAACAAGCTTGCAAATAAAAAAACTACAAGATGCCAGGCACTGTCAGGCCAAAGGCGCAGACGCTCTGCCCATTCCCTGCTTGTCGCCCAGCCTCGCACAATCAAATATCGCAGATTCACACGCCTTGATTTCCGGAGAGGCTTCTTGTAAACCATCTTGTCAGTCGCGGCCAGCTCTCACAAACTCTCAGGGCTCACAAACTGTCGCGAGTCTTGCCAGCCACGCTCAAACACGTGTCAAACAGCTCCAGAGGGCTCGACCGGTCCAATAGTTCCAAAGCCTCGCTGGCTGCCTGGCAAAAGCAAGGGTACGGTCTGTTCATCAATACCTTCGTGCCTGCACGTTATAATTCTTTGCATGCAGAATGAATCAACAAATACTGCTCACCAAGGCATGTATGGGTACAAATGTGCAGGCATGTGTTCACACACAACATGTTCAAACATTCAGGACCGTCGCCAGGCCTTTCTACAAACATCGCGGCAAGCCATGCCTTCATTTAATATTGCTCTGGCATGCTCAAATCACGCATGAGTGAGCCCCACTGCTCCTTCACTCGATTCACCTCTAGTTCTTTACGCACCGACTTGTTAACACATCCTCTCCAAGCGCCTGGAAAGCTGACTTCGGTGAGGCACCTCGGGTTGGGGCCAAAGAAAAACGAAAAACCACATTGAATGCCCAACACAAGCAGTCTCAAGTGCCGGCCTTTGGACAGAATAAGGGAGACCTCCAGCTTGGCCAGCCTGAAGTCGTTTGGCGGGTAAGCGTATACAATTCTTTGTCTTGGGCCAGGCATATTCAAAAGCCGACAACCACAATGCTGCCACAAACGTGTTTTTCCTCGTCTGGGCTGCGGGCGCTTGCATCCTGGTCTCGGCAAGACCTTGAAAAAGATCCGCGGCCTGTGCTGTGTCCAGGTTTTGTGCCCGCGCCTGAGGCCTTCAAATATAAACCCCCCATTGCTGCTTCCAGTCCGTTCTCAAGATGCTTCAGAGTGCCAAAACGGTTGCAACCATTCCATAGGATTGACTCTGATTGCGCAAACAAAAACCAAGAAGGAGCGTCAGGTCCATGCATCAGCGGCTAGGCTTTTGGGTCCATTGAGTCAATGCATCAGCGGCTCCAGGATTTGGCTGGAGCCGAATCAGTCTCATGGGCTCAGCAACAATGAAAATCGCATCGAATCGTTACCATGGCACTTCACGTTGTCTCCAAGACCAATCGTAGAACTGCACGCAGTCGATGCGCACCGCGCCATGCAACACCTCCCGGCTCAGGCCGGACGGGTGCGTCTTTGTTTGAGGGTGCTTTTTATGAATGCCTGAAAGGGAAGCAGAGGAAAAACCAGCCATTTGCAGGTTCCCCTATTTTGAGACACGTCCGAACTTGGCAGCTGCAAACCGGTGAGAACAACGGCATCAATGCGCCGGCTGCAAAGGTGAACAGCAGCCAACAAATATGACTTTGGCGAAATGACACAAATGTCTCAGCACGGAACAGTATGTGCGTAAGAGGGTGTCTTCCACGCAAACCACCAAATGGAATGGCTCATGCGGTAACAAAGCCGACACACAAAGAAATTGCAAACGTGCCCAACCCAAACACTGCTTGCTCGAAATGCGCTACTGTAGCGTATGATTCCTGTTTTACTTGGCCGTGCCATTCTGTTCTGGACTTGCTTCCTGCAGACAGAGGTGTCATGCTGCGTGTGCTCTGAGATATGTATTTTGCTAGATGCTACTATACTGTTTGCGTTGTCAAGTGTTTCCCCAGTTTTCCCGTGTTCTCTGGCATGCGTTGTACCTGGTACTACACTGCATGAGTCTCAGCAGCCATGCGCGTATGTCAAGCACTTTGCTTGGGAATTTCAATCTAAGCCAGTTTGATATATTGCTCTGAGTTCAGCAAATTCAAATAACCAAGCCTGCTTCCTACCGAAAATGTCCCACATCTGCAGTCCCCAAGGAAGGTCATCTCGATTGTGAAAGCATGCAGTCGATCACTGCCTCTTGCACACCAACCTCATACATGCCGCTTGGCGACAACATGTCACTCATAGCAGGGCTGCCCGCAGAAACAGAAGCAGGCTAAACAGACCTCCAAACAAACAAGTCTAAGTGTCGTTAGCTCTCGAACTCTAAGACTCTAGTGGTTTTGGCCGTTTTCCTTCCACTTTACCCTTGAACCAAGCAAAAAACAAAATTGGGCGGGGGGGGGGGGACGAATTTCCCAGCGCAGCCGGCACACCAGCCGACCGGCCGACCGGCCGACCAGCCATTGCGCCTGGAAGCCGGCAGCCTCCAACATGTCCCATGCCTCTCTGGGGCACTGGACCTCTCGGTGCCACTCCTCCGCAGTTGACGGAAGATTTGCTTTCTGGAAACCAGCGAACGGAAGTTCGACATAACTATCAAGCAAGCATTCGGGTCACCTGCAAAGGGAGTTCTACGGAAAATGGAGGATGTCCAAATACCCAAAACGCAAGTTCATGTCCGGAACTTCACTTTCTTGGAGCTGGCCAACTGCCTGGAACATAGGAGAAAGACACAAGGGAAAGCCCGGCAAGTTGGCAAGTTTGTCAAGACCATGATCCCTCTCTTAGATACGGACCAAGTTGCTTTCATGTGCCCTTGAAAGAATCCTGAGCACTCCTGCCAGTGCTCCAAGTGCCACTCATCATCCAGGGGTAGGTCATGGTTGCCACAAACCTTGGTGTTACAACCAACAAATACTTTGCAACGACAGGATTGATTCGTGCTTCTTCCTCCGCACCAGCCTGCCACGCTTGTTTTCTCCGATTCTCTGGCTGGGAAAAGCGGCCACAAAATACGCGCGCATGTGAGGTTTTGAGGAGAGCGTGCCGAACCAACAGGCCGAAAATACAATTTGAGGGTACACTTGGGGTAGGTTTTCAGTGAAACCGAAAGGAAACCAATGCCATTTTGGGGGTTCCCCTAGTTTGATGCCGTGGCCCCTGCCAGCGAACATCCCCGAAAGGCGGCCACGACGTGTTTGGGGAGGTGCCTGCTGGAGCATTGGACAGCGCAACTTGGTCCAAGAAGCGGTAGGCCAGGATGGCTTTCTCGAGCTCAAAGTGCTCCAATTCCATGGCTTACAGATTCCACTGTCCAGATTCCACGACTCCGAGTGGATTGGCCAAACAAAGTACATGTTGTTTGTTCGCTACTCAAATTGTATTCCCAAAAACATATACAGTTCAGCAGCAAGCGAGACGAGTCAATCCTCACTCGTTGGATGTCAACACAACTGCAAGCCTCATGCGGTTGCCCACGTCACAACACCTGCCTCTCAGCCAATGCAGCGTAGGTGCATAGAGAGCTGCATGTGCTGCTAGAATATTCACATGGGACAAACAAGCTTCATGCGACTTTAGGATAGATCCCCAGCAAATAAGTTACTTTTCCTCGATGCTCTCATCACGTCTTCACCGTCATGCACGCAGTGCCAGCAATGGCTGGCAAGATTCTCACCTCCAAGCTGCAGCATACAAATTCACTGTGAAACCGCAAGGATGATGCTTTCCGGAATATTGCTGCAGCTAGCCGGTGGTTTCCTTGTTATCAATGCAAAGTGTTTGCGCCACGAAGTTGTGACACCCCATCACTCACTTTCACACCAATGGGGTAGGAAGAATCCATGAGAATCCCACACATACCGCACACGGGCACTGGCGATGTTTCCCCATCGCACGCCACACCCTCTTGCGGATGGTAGTCGGTGCCACAGTAGCCATCGGAGCCGTCTTCGAAGCGCAAGATGCGAATGTGCCCTGCCTCGCCCCATTCCTTCCCCCAGGAGTTTCGGATCAGCCAATACTTCCCAGAAGTCGACACGCCATATCCAACCGCCAGCACCGCATGATTCACCGCAGCATTCTTTGGGCAGTCGTCAAAGACTCCGCCTCCATACAACTCCCAGTCGGAGGCATCAGCAGAGACCACCACTGGGCCCTTCATGGCCAGCGCGTACTGCAGCGGCAGCGCCAGGTTGGGCGTCAGTCGCTCGAAGCCCTGGCTGATGATTCTCTTGGGAGCCTTCTGGCACAGGCCTCCTGGACACCGCCCGACTCGTCCATTCGGACCGCTTGAAAGAGAGGACCCGAAGGCTTCAACATGTCAACATATGCGGTTCCCACAAAAAGTGAAAGCATTGTGAGTGTTTTTGCAGGGAATTCGAGCTTGTTTTTCAAGGTGGTCCCCCAAGGTTTTTCCGAAGACCCGCGGCTCGAAACGGCTAAAACGCCGATGCCCGTGCTGCCCGGCGTTGCCCCGTCCTTTGGTGTCCCACTTCAAGTCGTCCTCGAAGGCCACCCCATGCTCCTTCGGACACGAAGCGCGCAAATGCATCGGCACCAGGTGTTTTTCTCACCCGGTTGAAATTGAAAGCCACAGCCCAATCTTTGATGCACAGCCCTTAGTTGGTGCTTTGGATTGGTGGTTTGGCGATTGAGGGGCTGGAAAGGGTTACCTGATTGCAACAACCCTTGTTGATCTCCTTTCGACCACCAAGACCCAAAACGTGACCGAAACAAACACGTTGTCAGATGTGGTTCAACCGATGCGCGCGGAGCCGCTCCGCGGCATATTGAAAGGCCAGCTCCGCGGTAGCTCCGTCGCAGCCGCCGCCACCCCCGCAGTGCCGGGTGTTGGGCACGCAACCCACCAGCTGGTTCACCTGAAGGCCTCAGGCCAAAAGGCGTCACATATCACGCCATGTGCATATCCAAAAGAATGAATGAATCTCCTGAATCGATCGCCGGAGTGTTGGTTGTCTGACAAATCGATTGGAGATGGTTGCTTCGGGATGGGTATGAAATTGAGTTTGCGCTCAGTACGCTACGCTACATTCTAGTACATCACAGTGACATCACGTTACCTATAAACACACACACACACGCAATTCAAACACAGTATTTTCACGCAGACGCTTTTGGAGCAAGCCACAACCAAAAGGCTCCAGCATCTGGCCGTTTTTGTGCTTTCTGTTTGTTCCCTTGTGCTTTTGGAAACCCAAACGCACATACACACAAGCAAACCCATCAAATTGCACGGGCCGTCCTTGGAGTAAAAGCACGCATGTGTGTCATGGCGGGAACTAATGCTTTCTCAATATTGTTGAACCCTACGGAAGCCCCACTAGATATCAGGCCCGTCGTGCCTGGGTGTAAAGGTTACCGGTCCAGAGTCTAGGGGAAGGCCGCAGTCTCAGGGAGAGACAAGGACGCGTCTCTTATTCCTTAAAACGCCGCTCACAGAGTTCTCAAGCTGCGTTTGTTTTCGACGTGGGGATGTCCGAGCGTCCAGCCCTCTTGGCTGAGGGCACGGCCAGATATGATATGGAAAGGCATACACACATCACTTGGTCACTTCCCGAAGGCGGTGTGCGCAAGAGATGCTCCATAAAAAGCAGGGCCCTCCCACTCACCCTGGGACAAGCCAAAAACAGTGTCCGCTTGATTTGCACGCCATGCGAATCACACAAGCAACAACACATTGTCAAAAACGACATTCGCATTTCAGCGCCCACCTGGAACAGAGTAGCCGGCCAGCTCAGCATGCATCTCCAGGGCACTCCCAGCCGCTATTGCCCAACAGGATCCGCAGCTGCCCTGCGGAAAACAATTGTTTTGTCTCAAGGACCAAAAAAAGACGGTTAACCTTTTGCTTTCCCTTTACAAACACCCAAGGGGACCCTCGCAAAAAAGCACAAACAAATATGGAAAAGAGCAAAAACATGCACTTTGAATCACTTCTGCATTCCTCATCAGAACAGCGACCTACATCCTCTGACTTCAACCCGTGCCCCGTGCCCCCCTTGCCTGGTAACGAACCTTGTTCGATGCCCGGACGTGCTTCCTCCAGTCAACGGCCTGCCCCGCTCCGATCAAAAAGGATGTCATTTACAGGGTCAAAAGAGACGCTGTAGCGCTCACCACATGAACGATGCAGGCCATGCCAAGCTGACGGTTTTGTGAACAAGGGGGCTGTTTTCGAGCTTCATGCAGGCAGGAACAGCTGACTGATGTTCTCAACACATCTGTGAAGCACAAACAGCACAAGGCGGGAGCTAAAAACGGAGCTCAGACTCCTGCTGAGAATGACACAAACAACGCTGCGGAAGGGATCTCAAAGCTGTTTGCTGCAACTTGCCATCAATTGGCAGCTCCAAACTTTCTCTGAACCTTTGTCATTCACAACCTTGAATAGAACCCAAGAACCCGCATTTGACCACTCACACCTGGCCTCTTGCAGGACAATGCCTGCGGGAATGCTCTCGTTCTGTGAGTGGAGGTTGACGAAGGAGAAAGCCTGGAACCACAGCAGGATCCCTTGCTGCCACAGTCTATCTCTCTCCCAGCCCGTTTTAGGCTGGCTTTGCAGAAACAAGAGAGTCCATCATTGCAAAAAAAAAACGCTCAATGGGCAAGCGTTGGAAAGTAAGATGAACATGTGCCCTCGGAAATGCAAGCCGGCTGAAAGCGTTGACCAAAGCACACCAGTGCACCCAGTGTTCAGCCCACTCAAGCCCTGCCTTGTGCGTTTTTCGAGCCAAAGGCTTGTAGCCCATCATGCGCTTCAGTTCGTCATCCGTCGCATCGAATAAGTGGTCTAGGCCATGCGAAACACTGACGAGTCCACCCACTCAAAAACAAAACATACCTGCAGTCAACTCGCAGCCCCTTACAGCATCATACAGAAACTAAAACCTCATGTCAAAGCTGCCCTCAAGCAGTCAGTTCCTCCCTTTCTTGGCAAATCCCGTGTTGGTCCTACTAGTCTTGCGAATGAGGGCCTCCAAGCAAACGCCCCATTCAAACGGAATGGAAAGGGTCTGTCGTCACACGTAACCTAGCCGCAACCAAGAGACGACTGCCATCATCCGACGACAAGGGCCGGAGCCCCACAACTAAGGCGAGTGCTGGCAGCAGCCGTCCAGCGAGCATCTGCCCTTGTATTTTGTTTGCGCGCTGATGCGTGCCTGTCCAACGGCACGTGGTAGAAACTCAGAATGTTTGGAGCTCGCCTCTGCCAGAATGCCTGCTCCCGCAACAGGCGCATCCCAGGAGATTCTCGCATGCGCCTGTCCAACATTCAATGAATGGAAGCACAACATGCCAGCACACGCCTGCCAACCAAGCCAAAATGGTGCAAATAGGCCGTGTAGTTCTGGGGCAACTCGCTAGTAACCGCAATCCGCATCCCCTGCAACCAACAGAATTGTTGGAAACACGCTCTACTTGCATCACTTCATACTTCATAACTCATAACTCGATGCGGCAAAGCCACTGTGCAAAACCATAGCGAGCAAGCAGCACATAGAGCTATGATTATAGACCTCAGCTGAACGGTTGAGCAAATGCAGGGAAGCAAGCATTCACAGAAACATCATGGGTGGACAAAGCCAAGACACATCACAGCAAGCAAGCCAGGGCACAGTTGAATGTTTGTTTGTTTCTTTGAGCCGACATGTTTTCAAAAACAGCAACCTGATGCCTGCGCGGAAGGTACAACGTCTCAAGCTAACTTGCATGAATCACAGTGTATGTGCGCTGTGACACTCGAATATCTGCTGAGAAGTGTGATGACAAAGCAGTGCAGCATGACGATTCCAAGCAAGAACCAACGTCTCACAACGCATTCCAAGTTTTGCATTCACCCAGCGATGCGGGTGTTTATCCAAATTGGGAACCCAAAATTGGGTAATTCACCAAGACCCAACAAGTGGCTGAGTGGCTGAGTGGCTGCGATCGGGAAATCCACCAATACGCGTCTAATCCGATTTCTGTAAACGTGGAAACATGCGTGGTTTTTGGTGCGCCTCAAGGAAGCAAAATCGCAAAGGACCAAGTTGTTTTGAAGGATTCTCACTGGGCGGCCAATTGCTGTATTGCTGTCGCCGCGGCTACCTTTTTTAGCCTTTGGCTCTCAGCACCGCTTCGGCCCAGCTCAGAACCTCCTCTTCGCCGAAAGCTTCCACTTCCACCTCCAAGAAACACACCGCGAAAACAGCAAACGATTCTCCAGCCGTGCCTGGGCCCCTTCAACAGCTGGATCTTCTTGGCCAGCAGCACTGCCGGGCCATGGGAAATGCCATCCTGCATCATCTGCTCCAGTGCTTCTGCTTCAGCCAGGCGGCTCCAATGACTTCGGTGATGTCGTGCTCATCAAACCCGGCATCCCGCAACGCAGCTGCCACCCAGCTGGACACTTGTGCTTTGCGGAAGCCCTCCACCTCCTCGCGGCTCTTTGCGAGCCAGTCCTGCCAACACCGGCCTCCGCCTCGCTATCCTGGCACGATTGCAGCCGGCCAAACTTACAACTGCTGATTGGAGCGTCCTGTTGTGGGTTGGCGCGCAAAGTAACTCCGCCACGCCAAGGGTGCCAGGTTGTCACCTCGAGAATCCAGGCAAAAAAAACACAGCAACACCGAGATCTGGACCTGTGCCCTGCGAGAATCCTGGCGGACCCATCGCAACACACAAAGCACAGCCACAGTGCCAGGAATCCAGTGTCCTTCAAGCCGGGGCGACTCGGTGAAATCCGCCCATGAGGGACAACGGTGAAAAGATGCACCTGGGGCCACAACCAGCAAACGAAAGCGCTGGGAAAAATGTTGCCCTTGGCCGTGTGCAAGAACAGCCACGCGATTGCGACCAGGAGAAGGCGGAAGCACACACCTGACGACAACGAGTCCTCAACAAGCATGAGTTGAAAAGTGACCAGCCTCGACTCCTCCTGCCCTTCATCGTCTCCATGGCTATGTCACAACCGGGCTGCGCAGTGTCTCCTTCAATTTGCTACACAAGACGCACCTGGCAGGCTTTCCTTGCTGAATGTCGCTATCTTGGGCCAAGCTGCGTGCTGTTGCGGCAACAGGGCGATGTTTCATGATCCCACGCGCGCTTTCCACACACACACACACACACCTCCCGCATCCGCAACATCGAGTCTGAGGCTTTGCAACTTCGTAAAAACGGTTTTGCAAATATCTCAGATCTGCGCGCGTGCTTGCATCACGCTATCGCTGGCGCTCTCTGGGGCAACGGCGCCTTCGTAGGCGCGGAAGCCCATGAGTTCACCAAACTCTGACGCGCTTGCTTTGGTCCGTCCTTTTGGGAGGGTTTGGTATTTGGCCCTTTGTTGGGCTGGCTCAAGTTTGCGCATATGAAATATGCGACCGACCATTTGTTCCAAAGCCTCTGAAGTTTTTGCTTCAGGTCGCCAGTCAAGTAACTTGCTGGCTAGAGCTTGCCTTGCACCTTGGCACGGCTGTGGTCTTCACAATGCTTGGTTTTCGTGGAGCGACAGTGTTTGGCGACTTGACAACTTTCATTCGCAACCCTTGCAGCATGCGGTGCGTGCCAATCGCTCTCGTTGTCGCGCGGGGCTTTCATTTTGAAAGCCTTACGGAGTGGTGCTGACGCTGATGCTTTGGTGCGTGTTGGATCGCCAGGTTCTGCGCGCAGGATCTTTGGGAAGGATCTCTTGGCAAGATCTGCCAGCACCACGCCGCAACGAAGCAATATGAGAACCGAGAAATCTTATGAAGATATCCTACCCCAAGATCTTGCGCAAAGACCCTTCCACAGATTCGCTTTGCAGAGCTTGTAGAAGATCTTGTTGGGGATCCATTGCGCAGATCTTGCCAAGATCCTACACACAGGTTTCCTGTTTCTTACGGACCAGAAACCGTCCCGCTTTTTCACTGTTGGGTTGCGGTGGATTTTTGAGACTCTCCCTTCCGATGTGCGTTTGCCGGGGGCGCGGGGGCGCGGAGACGTCTTCCACGTGACCAACCTTCTTGAGTCAGGGCGCGCTGGCTGTTGCTTCAGCCCGTGCTACCGTCCACCGTGTCCCTGGCTCCGGCCCCGACCGCCTCCCTGAGGTGCTCCCGTTGCCTTGCCATCTCTCTTGTCGTGTGTGTTGTTGGTTGCTTTTCGTACACCAGCGGCACAAAAATGGTCCGAGCAAAAACACCATTGAGGCCCCCTCGTCTTGGCACGAGCTACCTGGACCCCCGCCACGGAGGAGCTTGGCCGGTAGCCGTGTTCAGCCATTCACCCCTTGTGATAGGTCCTTGCGTTTCACGCGGCTTGTCGAGAAGCTCCTGCCTGGTCGGCAGGAGTGCTTGTGATGAGGATTTTTTGAGAGAGATCCCAGCTAAAAGCTTGGGGGTACTGGCAGCGAGGGACAAGAGAGCAAGAATGACCGGCTGATAATCAGACACGACCGTCAGCATCATACGCTTATGCCAAATCTCCGCCTTCCCGAAAAAATGCCATTCCTGCGGCACATTTTGATACGCGACGCCAGCCTCGGAGCCAGACCCAGACAAAGTCGTCCAAGGCCTGACCAAATGACGCCACATACCCCAAGGCGCGCGCAGCGCACCAAGAGAGCGCAAAACGCTGCCCCTGTCACGAAATCTGCACGCCAAGTCGCAAAGCGCTGCGCCTGCCACGCAAATCAGGGGCCCCAAAAAGCTCGCAGCGTAACACCAAGCCCACCCACAAAGCACAAAATGCTGCTCCTGCCATGCAATCCGTACGCCCATGCTCACCAAACGCTGCCCCTGTCGCGAAATCTGCGCACCAAGTCGCAAAAGTGTACAGCCAGCTATATATGTGGCCAGCAATTTACCACCTCTTTCTGTGTTTCCAGCAGTGGCTACCAGCAATGTGTAGGGGCCTTGAAGTGATCACAATTAATATGCACGTCAACGCGACACCACTCGCCGTCCTTGGTTTTGGCTTGAGGGCCCGGCAACAGCAGGCTAGGCAAGTTTGTGCCCGAGACACAAGGGCATCCGGGCCCTAAACTCTCTCACACTCAAGAAGTCCTTTGCACCAATCTTTTCTTGAGGTAGGGGTTGAAAGGCATTCTGTGGTACTCCATCTGCCATGGCGAACAGCGGGAAGTAGAGGCATCGCGGGATTGCGCAACTGTAGGAGAAAGAAAGAATGTCTTGCAATCCAGTTGAAATGCTTGATGTATCGTTTCATCGGATTCCCGCGAAGATCTCGTCTCCGCTTTGCTCTGCGCCTCGCTTCATTCTCAGCACTTCGTCTGACCTCCTTCCACACACGAGCAACGTTGAGACTCATCTTGGCGAATTCCTGTTTACTCCCTCAGATCTTGTTTGATGCCACAGAACCATAGGTCTGCCCTCTATACTTGGACGCAGCCACCCCGGCTCCTCCCATCTCAGAACCCGAACAGCTTCAATCAAATATCACACCTCGTGATATTTGCCAGGTCACCAACTTGTAGTACATAGCGTGAGAAAGAACAGCCGCCCGCATACTCCGCAAATGGAAAATGATCGGACACAGGTGCCTAGCAAGATTTTGACTAACGAAGGCGCGAATGATTGTCGGTGGCACAAGCCACCGGTTCAATTACGCCTCCGCATTCGAACATCCACTGGGTCTCCTCCATATGTGTCCTTCAGGCTGGCGACGTCGGATTCGTCGCACCTCCCCATCGACTGGAGAATCCGTGTTGTTGGTTGGTGGAGATCGACGCAGGGTAACGCCAAGTGGCTTGTGGTTGCCCATGCGCATGAGACACGTAGCTCGCGACGTTGTTTGAGCAGCTCCTCAAAGGTGACCCATCCTCCATCTCACTTGCTTCTTCCTTACGTCGACGTTCTCAGTGGTTCGGTGCTGGAGGCACTTCACCAACTCCTTCGAAAAGTCAGCCACCTGTTAATAACTGGGAGATGGGCCGTTTGACAATTGCGTCGTGGTGAGAAAGCGGCTCCGCTGCGTAGGTACCTTGCGCTCTTCTCTCTCCACCATGGATGGATGACGTGCGGTCGGTCCGACCTTCCCCAGGCCCCCGTCGACGGCTGCAATAAGCGCCCGGCATGTCGACACTGCAGCGGGCCAACGGCGAACAAACCCCTCCTCGCCGCAATAAGGGCACAAGTTCAAAGAAGCCACGGCGGGCACAGAAAGAAGCATCCGGCGTGTCTACATTGTAGGGGTCACATGCAAAATTCTGGCTGGACACACCTGCCACAGGCAATCACAAACACAATTGCTGTGTGGCAACAGCAAGCAAGGAAATCAGCATCCGGTATATCTACATTGTAGGTGGCAAGACCTGAACACCACGGTCACTGGGCACCCGTTGCGTCACGTTGTGGGGGGGGGGGGGGCAAAAGGCGCAGAATCCCTCCTGGACGCCACAAGAATGGGCGATGAACTTGGTACAAATTCAAAAGGGCCACAATGGTCGAAAGAAAAAGAAAGAAAGAAAGAAAGAAAGGAAAAAAGTAGGGGTCAAAAAACACAAAATTCTCGTTTGACACAAGTTGTGAATGGCCACAGCTGGCAAAGAAAGAACCATCGGTACATCTACATTGCAGGGGGTCAAAAAGCAGCTGGACACCACATTCACAAACAATCAGCAGCGTACAAATTCTGCGCGGCCGCTGCAGGTGAAGCAATCAGCGT